CTTTCTTCTTAATTTTTTTTTCAACGTTTATTTATTTTTGGGACAGAGAGAGACAGAGCATGAACGGGGGAGGGGCAGAGAGAGAGGGAGACACAGAATCGGAAGCAGGCTCCAGGCTCTGAGCCATCAGCCCAGAGCCCGATGCGGGGCTCGAACTCACGGACCGCGAGATCGTGACCTGGCTGAAGTCGGACGCTTAACCGACTGCGCCGCCCAGGCGCCCCGGCGTCTTTCTTCTTAAACGACATTCGATGGCAGGCCATCTTGTATTCCCTCATTTATGATAAAGCCCATCACCGTGTTTCACCCCAAATGGCACTATAAGGGGAGTAATTACAAGTGGAACTCACCGACTTGTGTTTGTATAAAGAATCCTGGAGCCCCGAGGCTTGGCGAGAGATGTGATGTCTCCAAAGGGGTTGTCAACATCATCGGCATTTGTAGACTGCACACAACCCCTGTTTGTGTGACAAGAAAAGAAAACGTGTGTTTCTTCATAAGAAAAACAGAAGAAGAGGTAAACAGTGCCCTAACATTCAAAGGGAATCTTATTTGCTAAAATCGATGAAAAACTGAAACAGCAACAACGATAATAATAATAACCATGATGATAGAACAATTTGCCTTAAAAAACTAAGAAAAGAGATTTCCTCTTTTACAGAGTAATACCTGCCAGGCTCTCGTGATCTGAAGTTTGGGCCAGCGTGAGAGGAACAGGTGGATTGTGTTTTTGTGCAAAGAAAGAAGCTGTTTGTGCAGCCCAGGGAGGCTCCTTCACCGGAGGCTGGCCCCGGGGGGCAAGGCAGGGACTGGCATCCGCCAGAACTAACCGGGCTCCTGTTGGAGATGGGAACCTGGGCAGGTGCCCGGGAATCCGGGGCGCCCAGCCATGTGCCTTCAGGGCCCTGAGACCAGGCGGAGGTGCTGTCAGCCAGAGGGCGTAGTGTCCTTGTCCCGTTGCTGGGGCCACTAGTTGGAAAGAGTAGTCAGCTCCATCGTAGGGCAGAAGAGGCCACAGTAATGGCGGCAGCAAGGGCAAAGATTAAAGGCCCAGGGCCTCCATTTTCTTGGATTTACTCTGTTCCACGGCACCATGACCTGAATGTTTATGCTCTTCCCGTATTCCTGTGTTGAAATCCTAATGTCCAAAGGTGACGGGAGCAGGAGGTGTGAGGAGCTCAGGTCACGAGGGCGAAGCCATCGGGAGTGGGATTAGGGGGCCCACACAGCCCTACTACTGTGAGGACACGGTGAGAAGTCTTGTGACTTCTCCATGGAGAGCCACATTTAAACTCAGAAGAAAAAGGAGACACATTTTCCCGTACTTAGTGTTAGGGAGCACGTCGTATCTTCCGCATCGAGTATAAAAGCCTTTCTGGTTGACAACACCCAATATTAGGAGCATCCAGGGTATTTTACTTCATAAAATAACCAATTTGGGGAAACAGAAAAAATGCCGCTCCCCCTTTCTTTCTTTTATCATAATCTTTAACAAATCTGTGATGAAAGTCCTGACATTAAGCAGGCTCTGGGCTGGCAAAACGTTAGAACTCTGTTCGAAAGTATAAATTGTCTTAAACAATAAATTACAGACATGACTGAGCTGAAAGCAATTACAATTTAGATGTAAATCTAGTAATTTTTAAAACATTAAGAAACGGTATCACTTACGTATAAAGAGGGATGTATTTGCTTCTGGAACTTGGACTCACACTGAGAGAAAGAGAAAGTGTGCACAATGGAGTTAGTGACGTTCACTTAATAAGGGTTACAGTATTTCTCTTATTGACACCTCCTGGGATTTAATCTCTTTGGAGATGCCTCCTGGGAATTAACCTCTAAAAGTTTGTAATGTAGGCGCTCCTGGGTGGCTCAGTCAGGTAAGCATCCGACTCGGGATTTTGGCTCAAGTCATGATTCCACAGTTGTGAGTTCAAACCCCATGTTGGGTTCTGTGTTGGCAGTGTGGAGTCTGCTTAGGCTTCTCTCTCTCCCTCTCGGCCCCTCCCTAGCGCTCTCTCTCTCTCTCTCTCTCTTTCAAAGTAAATAAA